GGTCTATCTTGCCAGCCAGACCTGATCCTGTAGATTTACTCTGAGCAAGTCTAGGACCTGATACCTGTTGGATGCTGCTGCAGGTCTTCAAGAGGTTGGGGTGGGGGGAGCAGAACCCAGCACTCTCAAAAGATAGCCAGGAGCACAGGGAAAAATAGGGAGAGTGTGAGAAAGTTATTAAATATGAGCAAGGGGAAGGGAGCATTCAGCTGCTAGGGCATGGACTACCTAGGCAGGTGATGTGCCTTACTCCAGCTGAAGATGGATGCCTGAGAATCCTGAATGGAGGGAGGCACCTCTCTCTGGCCTATCAGTGAGGTACACCAGTCAGGTGCCTAAGCCACTCTCCTCTCCCCACCTTTCCTCTGCTTTTCACTTCTGGCTACTCCCTGCTGAGCTTGCTGCCTTCTAAGGATCCTTTTCTTAGGGTATGGCTACACTTGCAGCTGTACAGCGCTGTGAGTTAAACCTGTCTTCGTACAGCTGAGTAGGGAAAGCGCTGCAGTCTGTCCACACTGGCATCTGCAAGCGCACTGGTGTGGCCACATTTGCGGCACTTGCAGCGGCATTGGGAGTGGTGCATTATGGGCAGCTATCCCACAAAGCACCTCTTCCCATTCTGGCACCGTGGGCTGTAGGAAGGGGGCAGGAGGTGCGGGGCATTCTGGGTTCTGTCCCAACGCCCCGTGATGCATCGCTTTGCATCCCAGCAATCCCTGTGTTTCTGTCCACATTTGGCACCATCTTTCAACGGTTTCTGTGCAGTGCGATCTGTGTGAAATGGAGCCCGAACTGCTGAGGAGTATGCTGACGAGTCTCGCCAGCACGTCACATTTGGCAATCAAGCTATTCCTTAAGATCCAAAGTGACAGTGAGGAGTCCGACGATGATAGCGAGTCGCGTACGACATGAAATTGCTTGTGGCATTCATGGACATGCTCAGCACCCTGGAATGCCGCTTTGGGGCTCAGGAAACAAGCACTGAGTGGTGGGATCACATAGTCATGCAAGTCTGGGATGATGAGCAGTGGCTGCAGAACTTCCGGATGAGAAAAGCCACTTTCATGGGAGTGTGTGAGGAGCTCGCCCCCACCCTGCAGCGCAAGGACATGAGATTGAGAGCTGCCCTGCCGGTGGAGAAGCGGGTGGCTATTGCAATCTGGAAGCTAGCCAGACAGCTACCGATCTGTCGTGAACCAATTTGGAGTGGGAAAGTCAACCGTTGGAATCGTGTTGATGCAAGTTTGCAGGGCCATTAATCGCATCCTGCTAAGAAGAACCGTGACTCCGGGTAACGTGCAGGACATTGTGGATGGCTTTGTACAAATGGCTTTCCCTAACTGTGGAGTGGCGATAGCTGGGATGCATATTCCTATTCTGGCACCACCCCACCTAGCATCCGAGTACATTAATTGGAAGGGGTATTTCTCTATGGTTCTCCAGGCACTTGTGGATCACTGTGAGCGTTTCATTGACATTAACGCAGGCTGGCCCAGAAAGGTGCATGACGCACGCATCTTTTGGAACACTGGCCTGTTCAGGAAGCTGCAGGCCGGTACTTCTTTCCCAGAGCGGAAGATCACAGTAGGGGAAGTTGAAATGTCCATTGTGATCCTTGGAGACCCCACTTACCTGTTAACGCCATGGCTCATGAAACCCTACACAGGCAGCCTTGACAGCAACAAGGAATGGTTCAACTACAGGCTGAGCCGGTGCCAAATGACTGTGGAGTGTGCTTTTGGCCGTTTAAAGGGGCGCTGGCGATCTCTGTATGGGAAGCTGGACTTGGCCGAAAACAGCATCGCCGCGGTTATATCTGCGTGCTGTACCCTCCACAATATTTGTGAAGGGAAGGGTGAAAGATTCAGTCAGGCATGGACCTCCAATGTTCAACACTTGGAGGCTGACTTTGCACAGCCAGAGAGCAGGGCTCTTAGAGGGGCCCAGCACAGGGCTGCAAGGATTAGGGATGCCTTGAGGGAGCAATTTGAGGCTGAAAACCAGCAGTAATGTCTGGTGCCCTGCACGGGAGTGAAGTGTAGTGGTTACAATGTTAGTAGGAATCTGTGTTTGCTAAGCTGATTTGCAGTGCCTGTTTCTTTCCTGGGCTAAGGTATCTTTTACTTTATGCAATAATAAAGAATGTTTTCAAAGCCAAAAAATCCATTTATTGAAAAGAAAATTCATTTATTGAAAGAAATACAACTTTTTGGGAATCAGAAAGGGCAAGGGGGTGGGGTGGGGAGGGGAACGGTACAATCACAGATTTGCATATGTCCTGTCTGGAGTGCTGTGTAATAAGTGCTGCACTTCAGGATGGCTATACTGCACAGTGATGGGGGTTGAGTTCAGAGGGTAAGGGTTGTAGTTCTCAGGGCTGGTTGGTGAAGATACAGGTGTTGGAGGCAGCTGATGGTGGTAAGAACCCGGATATTGGGGAAAGTGGGTTGGAGGTGACATGGGGGCATAAGGGAAATTTTTGGGACAAGGGCTGCAGGGGCGGGCGGGCGTGGTAGTGCTCTGCCTGCATGCCTACAAGCGCCTGGATAGAGTCCGCTTGGCACCCCATGATGCTTATCAGCCGCTTCGTGCTTTGCTTCCGGTGCGCTGCATTTTTCTTGCGGATCCTGCTTTTGCTCTCCCTCTACTCCTGTGCTTTTTGATTCTCTGTAAGAGACTGATGCATCACTTTGTGCAGCATGTCTTCTTTGCTTTTTCGCGGTCTCTTCCGGAGTTTTTGCAGTCTCTCAGCCGGTGATAACATGGACGGCTGAGATCTCAAGGTTGCATCTGTAAAGGCAAAATGCAACACTTAACAGAGGCAGCATTGTTTATACCAGAATAATGATTCCCCCGCACTTAAGGAGGGCACACACAGTCTACACAATAGCATAATTTTCCCGTCCCAAAGAGAGCACACATAACCCATGGGAGCCCCAAAATGGTGAGTAAGGGGGACTGATTGTTTCAGGGCTGTACTGTCCTCTGGGTTTCTGTGCCCTGGGGAGAGCCAACAGCTGCAGGGGGCACCTACATTGAACACAGTCCCAACATTTTCCACAGGAGTTTATCCTGGAAGATATCTCGCTGCTGAGGGTGACCTAGGAAGCAAGGGAGGGTCTTCTATTGCAATCCGGCTTCCGCCCTGGCCCATATGCAGCTTGCCTGCGTGCAGCAATGGTCCCCCCGACACTCGCGCCACAGTGGCGCGGAAACGTTAGCCTGACTGGGACAAGGACCACGGTGGCTCTCCCAATAAACCCGCGCAAGCACATTGCCCACTTTCTGGATGAGACTTTCGAAGAGATTATCGAGGCAGATTACCACGATGTGATAGACCACATCAATGCACTATTCCGCATCTAGACATGTATGCAGCCCTAACCCTCCTCTCCCGAAAAATTTCCTTTCCGAAAATAAAAGCTGCTTACCGGGAACCTGCTCTTCTGTTTGTCCTCCACCAAGTACCGGCCGCTGCGACTGGCTACCTTCCTCCTGGCTTGAGAAGAGCTCCTGGCTGCATGCCTCCAGGGATTCCGGGGTGTCTGCCTCCACCCCAGCACCCTCACTCCCGCTTTCCTCCTCCTCCCCCCGCTCTGAAGTGTCCATGGTGGTGCTCGGAGTGGAGGTGGGGTCACCCCCCAAGTATCGTGTCCAGCTCTTTGTAGAATCGGCAGGTCGAGGGGGAGCACCGGAGCGGCAGTTTGCCTCGTGGGCTTTGTGGTAGACATTCCGCAGCTCCTTCACTTTAATCCTGCAGTGCAGTGCATCCCGGTCATGGCCCCTTTCCATCATGGCCCTTGATATCTGCCCGAAGGTATCGTAATTCCTCTGGCTGGAGCGCAGCTGGGACTGGACAGCTTCCTCCCCCCAAACACTGATGAGGTCCAGCAACTCGCCATTGCTCCATGCTGGGGCTCGTTTTGCACGTGGAGGCATGGTCACCTGGAAAGATTCACTGATAGCACTCCACACCTGGTGAGCAAACAGGAAGGGGATTTTTAAAATTCCTGGGGAATATAAAGGGCGGGTCTGACCCGAGGCCAGGGCAGTAGAGTTCGAACTGATGAGCAGAGTGGCTAGAACAGGCATTGTGGGATACTGCCGAATACTTCTGGAGGCCAATCAGAGCGCATTGGGCGGCCACACTGGCGCTGCAGCGACAGCGCAATATTCTATTCCTCTCGGGGAGGTGGAGTACAAGCAGCACTGTAGCCACGGAGATACAGTGCTGTACATGCCTTGCCAGTGTGGACAGGGAGTGAGTTACAGTGCTGTGGGTGGCTTTATTGCGCTGTAACTCTCAAGTGTAGCCAAGACCTTAGGCACTTAGCTCTCCCCATGCAGTGTGTGGGGAGCCTGGCACTCAACCTTGGGCTTGAGGATTCCACCAGGCAGCAGGCTACCCAGAGGTTAGGTGCTGTAATGCTGAGCATAGCAACATTAAGTTCAGCATCATGGTGTTACTCCTAGATTTGATCATCTCATCAAAGATATTAAAGACATTCAGTTGCAAATTAATGGCTCAAACACACTTGCTTAAGAGAAGGCATGGTCTGACCACTGGAAGCCAAGAATTAAAAATTCTAATTTGGTTTAACCCTCCTCATACGGTTTTGGGCAAGTCACTTTAGCTCCGACTTAGTGTCCATATACCGTACATAGGACTCATTCCCATTCCCCACAAGGAGAAGGTAAGGCTTCTTAAAATGGTCTGCAGTTGAGAAGTGCTATTTTATTGATACCACTATTGAATACTCCAAAACGTGCTGTTCCGACGCCACAGTGAGTAGATAAAGTGAAACCTAGAACTGTTTGTGCCTTTCTGTTACAACAGACGTCCAAAGAATCTCTCTTCCCTATATAGTAACTAGATCAGACATTGCCATACTATCAAAGTGAGTGTCCTACACATCTTAAAAAACATTCACACATTAAGAGATATTCTAAGTGATAAATAATGTGTTGCAGATGCATGAAAGCAATTTTACAAAAGAAAAAAAGGTTTCCAGACATTTATTTCTGGAACTGTACACCAGGTATTAAAGTACAACAAATACAAAATAATGCTCAAAAAAATCAGTGTTTATGTACAAATATTAAAACCAATGCAACAATAGCGACTTCCTCTTGAACATCTGATACTAAAACTTGTTCCGATTGTCACTGGTTTAGGTCATTATACACAGGGTGCTTATTTCAAACTGGGAAAGGCTGGAATCACTGGTGGCGTAAGAGGGCCATAATCAGACCTATACTATTTTAAACAATAATTGGTAATTTCCTTAAGTGAAAAACATTAAAAAAATAGTAACCTTGTCATTTTATAAATTACTGTATTTAGTTTCCCCTTTGTAGATAATGTGCTTGTAATTCTGGGCAAATAGTGTCCCTGTTGGTCAGTTTATCCATTAGTTTACATTCAAAGTTGAAATATGCACTAGAGACTTTGGTTAAATTCTGTAGTATTACTATGTTCTACTGGATCTGAAGTTTTCACACATTTTTGACCCTCAGTTTTAAAAATTAAAAACAGGAAACAATTGCACAATTCATTGACCTAATTGTACACAATTTAGTATTCTGCAAACAGTAATGTACATCCTTCAAGTAAATTCAGCAGTTTGACCATGACAAGAGGAAAACTAAACATTTAAAAATCTAGCATGAGAAGATGACATGACTAACAAAAGTAAAAGTATTGCTATAATCACAGCACCAGTTACACTTCTAAATGAATCAGCTATCCTCTTCAGATTCCCTGTACATAAAAGATACATCTACCAACACTGCAATTGCCCATTATGGATTTTTGGTTTGTTCATATGAAGAAAAAAACGTGGCAAAGGACAAAGAATTCATCACAGTTTGTTACAAGAATTGTGCTTCACCATCCAAGAATCAAGGCAATAGAATTTCTTCATATGGTTGCAATTCAGTTATCTTCATGCTGACCCTCAAAACGCAATTCTTTTAATAAACAGTAACAAGTTCTCCATTTAAATGTTTAAACTGAGAGAAAAATAGGTAAGTCCAGCTTTTAAAAGAAAAATTCAATAAATAGCTATTTTACAAGGATAAAGTCATAGTGGTACAAATTTATGAATGTCACATCAAGCATGCACAAAAATGTTACTATACACAAGTAGTCAGAAAATATTGAAATAGATATCTAAAAAGATATGCAGAATGTACATATTTACAAATCTTGCAAATTATTGCCTCATTTTAACAAGGAATTAAAAGTAAACGTTACCAGCTAGCTAGCCACGAGGCTAAATAAGATTAGAATTTAAAAATCTATTAGACTAGCCGGAAATCTTTTTTCTCTCATATCATTTTCTGAATTTTGGTCAAAAGTCTTTATTAAATAACTAAAGTGTCCATTCAACTTGCCGACAATCCAAACTTTAGACAAGTCTCTGTCTATATTAAGATCCCAGCAATGCATAGATAAACTGAATATATTACTGCATCAGCTAATGAGAATGGGCATGTTCATTTAAGTGCAACTGGTATAAGCATTCAGTCATCTTTGTGTAATGATTTTTATACAGACCAGCCACTGTAAACCCATAGTTAAACTTGAATGTATAACAATGAAAAAATATGGCCAGTATTTTACAAAATTACATAAAAATGTGTTGATTCATAAACAAAAGAAACAAGGTACAAAGTTCAGCACAAAACACAGCAACAAGAAGCTGACAACTTGACCCTGTGTTGTACTCTGACATTTGTAGCCAAGGCTACCCGTTATTTACTGTGTACTTACTAGAATTACATATTTCAGATGTTTAAGTTAAAGAATTGATAACAAATTATCGCTAACTACTTTTGTCCACTGTGCTAAACTAATTTTTATGGTAAATGTGCTATTGCGTAAACAGTTCAAAGCAATCTTCATTACAATGCTGTAAAGAAAACTTGGGAGTACGCCGCATCCAAAAATCAGGATGTCAATGCAGTTCACAGTATATATAATAAATACCCTCGTCCCTTTCAAATACTACCCAAAGTCTCTACTACTAAATTACTCAGCATAACCTTGAAGCAATTACTACAAATATTACCAATGCAGTCAAACTTAAGCATTTTAAAAAATGCAAGCAAATTAGTGGCAATTAATCTGCATTACAGACAGTGCAAAGAAAAATCTGAGTGTGTGTGGGAAAGTCTACTGCGATTCAATTGTACTGGGCTAAACTTCAGAATCTTGTAAACAAAAATGAAAAAAAAAAGCACAAACCTGAAAGTTGTATGCTCTGGAAGCATCTCACATACCAATACTATGTTTTGTCGGAATCTGTAACACAACTTAAATAAAAGGGTATTAAATGGAATAATTTATGGTGACCCAAAATTTCATCTTAATATTCACCAAAAAATTGATTGGCATAAACAATTTTGAGTATGAGATGCATTTGTACTGCTGTCAATTCCCATTTGAGAAAAGTATTGAAATGCCATTTTGAGACAATGACTTGCCAAAAGAAATAAACACAATCCATGCTAAAGGAAGTTTTCAAGTGTATACTTCAAGGTTGTACTGCACTATATAAAAATCTAGATAGTCCCTCAAATGAACTGCAGTGCTCCAAACAATTTAAGGTGTGTCCCAAATGTAAACCATTTAGTGGTCAATCCTAAACCTTGCAGACTGTGGCTTTATACATCAGCTGCCTCAGAAAAAAATTGATACAAATAACTGGTGTTATTTATTACAATACACTCTTAAAAGTTGTGGACAAAACCCCATCAAAATACAATATTCTAAAATGCATTTGTTTAGCCAATAAGTTTAAGTACACAGAAACCTTCTGGCAGTATAATTACTTCTGTGTAAGGTAGCCATGGCCTATAATTTTGCAACAGCATCTAAGTGTATGTCTTCACACTTTGCTCATACAGTCCCTTGTGCTAGCTTCCACCAAGATGAACTCGCTGTTTTGTAAACTGAAGTGCCCTAGTTTAGTATCACACGAGAGAAGGTTCCATTAAAAAATATCCTTCTTTGTGCAGTTTAAATTAAAGAAACCCATCCCTGCCTTTATTAAAAAAAAAAAATGCTACATTGAGCAGGAATCAGGATCTGTACCTGTAAACATTGTTATTCCACTGCATCTGTTACGGCAAAAGTAACTTAGACTAAAAAGCCACTTCAATCAGTTCACAACTTCTGTGCTGGTTTTGAGATGGTGACCTCTGTCTACAGGCTTTAAAAAAAATTGAAGCAGAGCTTAAAGCTGCACCAGAGTTCTCTTAATCCCAAACTCTGCCGAACATCATAGGACATTTCCACACGTATGGATTGAAAAATGAAATTATTCTTGATAAATCAAGATATAGTTCTATACATACAAAGACATCACTGATGTCATAAAGTTCAAACTTCCAGTGAAAGACTAAGCAAACCTGACAGTTCCCATCAAGTCTGCTGCTGCATTAAGTACCCGCTGTTTTTGTAGTCCACCACTGGAATCATTCTGAGTGAAGGGCAGTATGTTGGTGTAGAGTGTGGGCACTGATGAAACCATTTGTCTCATTTGCAGATAGACTGCTGAAGTCAGCCACTGAGACAGCCATTTTGGCACTGGTAATATGATGTGTGTGGTTCTCAAAGTCCACACCCAAGTTATTTACAGAAACATCATTCATAAAGGATTCAGGGACTGCAATCCCCATTTTTAATCTCTTGGCAGGTCTCTCTGACTCTTCACTGCACATGTTCATTGGGTTTAACTCCGAGTGATAAAATCCAGTCTCAAATAAATTAAAACAATCACTTTCACCATTATTAGGCAAGGTAAGCAACTCTTCTGTTACAACAGGCACATGATTAACTGGTGCTCGGGGTAAGCTGTCCAGAGGAGAAAAGGCATCTTCCAAGCAGTTCACATCTGTAGAGTGGCAGACTGTAGCTACACTATTGGTCAATGCTGGGGGAAAAAAATGAACAAAATTTAAATAAAAATAGACTTTCTTGAGGTACAGTTACAACAGAAAACAGTCTTTTAAACTTCAATACTGATTTTTCTTGATTTACCTGTCAAGTCATTGGCAGTGATAGAGTTCAGAATGCTGAGCTGTTGATCAGGAATGGGCTCTGTTCTGCTGTTAGCAGTTAAGGCTGAAGAATGTACTGCTCCACCAAGGGCTTCTGCTTCATCTACCAACCGATCCATATAGTCCCTAGAAAGACATCCTTATATTAGAGACAGGTGTGTGACTAGGAGATGAATTTCTTTAATCCAACATCACTGCAGCATTTCACCACCCTGATAAAAGTTGGAAAAAACTCTAGATGCAGAACTGACAACAGTAAGGATATATTCCAAGCACTCTGTACTTACGTGACCCCTGGATGATGGTTGTACCTCTTCTTTCCAAACCTTGTTTGCTGAGCAAAGTAATCATAACGTTCTGATTTCTTCCACATGTAGTAGAATGCTACACATTCAGCAACTGTTCTAGTTCTCACCTAAAATGGGGCAGGAAGAATTAACATGCTAGTTTAAAAAAAAAAAAGAGGGGCAGGGGGAAAGGGGGGCAGGTTTTAGTACTCTCCATCGTCCCCATTCTCCTACATTCTCTTAAGTTACTTTTCTGATTAAGAGATTCTTCTAACAATATAAATTTGAAAAATGTACTATTTTAGATCCACGCAATAAAGCAATTTAATATGCTCAGCTATAGAAAATCCAGTTTTTTGTTTTTTTTTAAATTAAGTTTTACATTGAGACAGTGTCCAGGACAAAAATTAATGTCTCAATAGCAGTTCATAACAGCTTAACAATTTATGAAGAGTCAAAATATGCAAAGAAAAAAAGGGAGGAAAGCTAAGAGCAGTATGAAGAGTAACAAGCTAAAAGGGAAAATAAGTAAGGTATTATGGAAACTCTCCTTTTTGTAAGGTTAGTCAGCAGAGACTGCCCAGGCTCCGACAACAGGTGTGTGCAAAACTAGACTATTACAATGGAAGTAGTCCTGATGGTCTAGATGATCCAAAAGATCCATTTTATCCCTATTATCCATGAATCTACATGCACTGTGCAATTTAAGGCTTCAAATACACTTGTTTCCCTTATATAAAGACAGGTCAGTTTCTGAGAGTACCAATCCTTAAGTCTAGCTAGGCTCTTATTCCATGTATTATTCCTTCCCCTCCATCCCTCTACAGAAGCGTCCATCCTTCCATTTGAGGAGTAGATGGGTCTCCTTGCTGAGTGAGTCCACATCACCACTCCTTAGTCAAAAGAATTACTGTTGAATGACAACTGTACAGTACTCTACTTTCCTTCTAGCACCTTAGTGGCTGAGTCCTGTGTGGCTGCAGAACTCCAAGCCCCTGGTGGCTATGAGATGGATAAGCTAATTAAGGTATTTTATTATTTTGCCTGGTCTAGACTCAGAGAATGAATCCAGGGCAGTGCAAAGCCAGAGCAGCATAGAGTATAACACAACAAAATTATATTACAAATGCATAAATGAATGCAATGTGAATACAACACTATTTCAGAGACTAACAGGTTGACTGATCTTGAAAATGTTGACTGTTGAATGTCGTTTGTGGTAAAGTTAGCATGCAAATGACAAATCAGCTCTAATACATTGCCTCATATTTCACTGTAGGCAATGCTTCTGTTAAATTAGTTGCTTTTATAGATTTTAAGTGACTAAACTACCATTCTCTACATCCAATTTAAGTACATAACACTTACCTTATTTTTCTGTATGAGATGAAAATCTTTCCCGTAAATCAGAAGTGCATGTTCAAAGTTTCTGCATTCTTCTTCTGTCCAAGCGGTCATCTCTTCTAGAGGATTCCCAAAAATAAGAACAGCACTTATTTTCAGATAATTTCCATCAGAAACTGAGTTACAAACATTTGTACTGATAACATTCATGAAAATCCAAATGCACTTTGAAGAGCAACTGCTAAATTCTTTAGAATTTGTCTTATTCTTAATACACTGAAGCCTCTAATTATACTGTTGGTTAGAAAACTGACAATCTGCTAATCATCAACTTTGGATACACTACTCTGTTCACTGAATGATAAAGGACTGTTAGAGTTTCATTTATTATTATTATATTTTATTTGTAGTCATCCAGGGCCAGGTGCACAAAAGGGCTTGGGCACCTAACTGCTCCTTTAAGTACCTAAATCCATAATTTAGGCACCACCAAGATCCCCAAAACCCTTAGCTGCTGCCTGACCATGGAGGCATCTAAAATCCTTAGGTGCCAGGAGTTTCCACCATTAAAGTTCCCTAGGCACCTAAGTTTCTGCCAGAGAGCATGCACACAGCTGCCTCAGTCTAAGCACCAATCTCACACCTAAATCCAAGGAGGATCTTCTCACCTGCAGGGCCCAATCCAGTAGGCATTTTCAGAGCATGCCTAAACCCAGACAAAATTGCTAGGGGGGGATGGAGGTGGCCAGCCTTATAACCTTTAGCCCAGTGATCAGGGCACTCACCTCAGATGTGAAGACACAGGTTCAATTACCCCTCTGCTTAATGTCATTTCCCCCACTTGGATTTTCCACCTCTTAGGTGTGACTGCCCTTACCGCTGACTGTGGGATATTCAGGTATGGGTCTCTCTCAATCTGTCCCATTGAAGCTGTTCCATTGTGTATAAATAATTAAATAGACATCAGACCAGAGAAAATCCATAGTTCAGTGATTAGCACATGCACCTGAGAGGTGGCTTATCCAAGTTCAAATACATTCTCCACATGACGTGCAGGGTTTGGTGGGGAACTGAACCTGCGTTTCCCATATTCCTCCTGAGCACCTGAACTACTGAGTGAGAAGTTATAAGGGAGGCCACTGCCACCTCCTGCACTTCTTGCAGAAAACAAAAACAAAAAACACCACTTAGGCATCTAACTCCAGGAAGGGGTTCACAGCTGAGACACCAAGCAGAGATAGGTGCCTAACTACCTGAGAGGCTTAGGCCTCACTCTTCAGCATTTCCTATTGGCTAGTTTAGATGACTTCCAACTCAGTGGGCTAGCTTTTGTGGATCCCATTCTTAGCCACCTAATTCACCCCATGCATTGTACAGGGAGCCTGGGCACCTAACTTGGGGCTGTGCATTCCAATGGGTGGCAAGGTGCCTAAATATTATGTGTTGCAATGCCTATGTTCCTTTGTGGATCTGGGCCCAAATCTGCCAAGGTTTGAAAACATCACCAGCATGTGAAGCAAAGTATTTTTCTGCACTGATTTCAAAGGTGTCTACTCTTGCAGGGATACAAAGAACCACAGACCTTGGAAAATAGGCAAAGGAGAAACTGCTTTTCCATACATTTAATTCTGTAAAAAACTTGTAGTTCTTTTTACAAATTGGTAACAATGCAAGTTAGTGTTCATTTTCAACACACGCACACAGATCAAAGGAAAAACCTGTTTTCCATGGGGTTTCAGATCTTTCTCTATTGTGCGCCTCAACCTAGTACTATAATACACAGTTTAAGATCATGTGGCTCAAACTCTATATAAGGATCATTTTAGCCTCCACTACCCTTGCTTTTTCAAAGTTTGATATTATTGTTACTTAGTATTTAGTACATAGTTTGCCATCATCACATTCCTGGGTTCTCACCTCCATTCTCCCAAAATTCAAACCACTATATAATAGCAGACATTCCCTGTTATGTCATAATTTGTTTTGATTTTGTTTCACGTTGAAGTATACTGAAAGAGGAGATACGTATTTACCTCATCAAGGAACAAGACAGTAGCAGGCAAACCACATATCTGTACATTTATTATGAGGTAGCCTCAGTTATAGTAGTAATTACTGCTTATTGTTTTTAATGTCCTTTTTGTATCATTCAGTTACACAGTAAAACAAGAGCCTTTCAGCTTACAGGCAACACAAATGATCTCTTTGCCAAAACAAGAATTCCCTATTAAGTGAAATCTTAAGTTATTCAAAAAGTTGACCAATCAATGAACTCTTACACCGTGTCCTGCAGCTCACCAATACAGGATTCTGGCAGAACAATGCAGGGAGTAGATTCCAGTGGTGCAGGCATTCCACTGAGAATGTCCTGACTGCCACCTGCCACTGAAACTTTAACCTGCCAGCAAGCCCAATACAGTAGGTTGAAATTCCCATTATAGGACCTGGGAATATTAAAAAAAATATATCTTTTTTTTATTTAAAATTGGATTTGTTTGATAAAATTCATTGAGGAAAAAACCTATCTAAAGATAGTTTTAATTAAGATACATTATAGCTGAAAGATCTCATTATGGAATAGGAATTATAAATTTGAATTCTATAGTATGAG